GGACGCGGCAGCCGGTGCCTCCGCTGGGCCCCGGGTCTTGGATCCTTGGCCACCCTCAGCCCCTTGCCCCTTAGGAGCAGGGAAGTGAAGGAGGCCGGCAGCCTCAGCCCTGGGCCAGGACTGTGCTCGAGCACCAGGTGAGACACCCGGGTCAGCCGGTGGAGGCAAGACCCTTGGAGGTCGGATGTAAATAAGACCCTGGGGGTTGGCAGTCGAGGTCGTTACTCATCTGCTGGCCCGTTTGCAGTCCTTCTTAACCCCTCCGTGTTTGAAACTTGGGGACATGTTCCTCCTCCCCTCCTCCCTCCGGTGTGGGCACTCCCTATGTCCTTGGTTGCGTCTGTGCCAGGAAGGCAAAGTGGTGCTGGGGTTAGCTTTCTGCCACTGGCCTCCCTGTGGCTGGGACTCCGGGCTGCTCTTGATGAATGGCTCCGGAGGGTGGAGGATAGTTACATTTCCTGTTGTGCATTTTCAGGAATTACCGAGGTTGTCGTCAAGCCTGAAGTCATTTATTAGCTCTTTCACAGCGACTGACTGCAAATAACATTTGAAGTTAGCAGCCTGTACTTCTGGTACTTAAGGGCAGGTGCAGGACGGGTCTGTTAGCCCACTGTTTACAGACGGTGCATGACGGGATGGTAGGGTAGACAGATGTACACTGCCTGGTTAGGGCAGGGCCTCAGAGGTCGCCCTGTTTAACTTAATCGCCCGTACAAGTTCGGGATTCTATGATTTTCTCAGCTCTCATTCTTTTTTGCTGGAGTGGGGGTGTCACAAAAATAGAAACGGATGCAACCTCAGTATTTGTCTTTTCTAAGGCAGATTCAAGCAAATGGAATATTTAGGATTTGAGTTGGCATCTCTTCTAAGGGGTAACTTTGGAACGTCTATTGATTGATGGGGCAAAGTCCAGAATTTCACTGTAATTGGTGAATGATTATAATTTACACCCTCGCTTGTGTAAGAAGTTAGGTGTTGGCCTGCGCTTAAACCCGGGAGATCTTGTCTTTTATGATTTGTTACTGCTTCTTAAAATTAAACATATTTCATTCTCAATGAGTTGTCTTTTTTTCTGTTGACCAAAGTTAGGAATAGTTCCACATGTTTCAGACTCACTTACCTGTAAAATTCGAGGGTTTGTAATCAAATTTGGAGCAACTTAAGTCTAAAGAGGAATTGCCATAAAGTCTTGACAGCTCTGTGAACTATAACTGTACTTTTCTCCTACTCTACCTCCTGGAAAACTCCATTAAACAAATATTTAATATAACACAACTAGTGAGAGCTACTTAAATCTAGGAGTGGAATACTTAAAACTTTGGATATCCAACATTTGAAATCCATCGATTTCCTCGCATACCCAAGGGCACTGCCCTTTTATTCTCAGCTTTATTTAGTAAAAGCTTTATTTATTTCCAACATTTTCACTTCATTTTTAAAAATAGCAAACAGACTACTGAACTGTACCTGGGGTATCACATCACAGGTCCCTTATCTGCTTTCCACCAAACAGGCTTAAAGTAATTGAGAGAGAGAACTTATTTATACTTATTTATACATTTGACAAATATTTGTGGGACATGAACAGCCAGATACAGTGGTAGGCTGTGTGAATTCAACTGGAAGGAAAGATAGCCTCCTCAGCTTCTACAAAGGTTGCCTTCTATCCATGAGCTGACAACAACCAAAAATACATGCAGTAATTACCTGTAGAGGTTAGTTTAAGAAAGGTAATAATATGTTATACTTACAGGGCTGCTTTTGGGAACAATTGTGATGCTGTGTATGAAAGAACACTGTGTAGATTTTAGCAATCCACAAACATGTCACACATTAACTTTGTTTTTCCTAGTAGATTATTGTATTATGTTGTATA